GCGCAAAAAAAGTAGCTCTCTTCAATCTTCAAGCGACACGTGAACAGCAGACCACGAAAAGCTTGTTTACTGGTTTCTTTTATTACAAGGGCAAGAGGCGTGAGATTTCTCTCGGTTTCTATTGAAGCCACCTCCCTCACATCCTGACATTTGTCTATGACTGTGGTTGAGACGCGGTCATAGTTCGTATCACAACATGAAAAGGAGCTCTCTGCAGTCTTCAAAAACTAAAGGTGACATCGTATATTTTTCTTCTGGATTAGCAGGAGTCTTCATGTCTCTTGCTTGCTAGGTATGAGGATGGTCCGAATTAGTATCCTCAAAAGTAGATAACGATTGCTATGCACATGGCTGCCTTTAATATTTGTCATATATCGATTCACACTACACAGAGGAGTTTTCTTCCATGAAGTGCTATCTTACCTTGTGTTACAAGGTTAAGGAGCCCCTGCCTTCTGAATAATACGTATCAATGCAGCCAGTCGTAATTAGTCCTGCTTCGTGTTTGGAAGGTTGCAAGAGCTCTCCATGCTCTCCTACTTCTTGCTGCAGACGAGCCTTCTTGTGCGCCCACATATGCACATGAACTTTTCAACTCGGAGCTTTGCGATTTCTTATGAAGCAAAAAACAACTATTGGAGTATTGCTTCAAAAAAAACGCGCTCGTATATTCGCCTTCCTTCATGTATAATGGACAGGACATGAAAGGAGCTCTTTGTATATCGTAACTCAAAAATCAAATGCTAGAGCGATTACGCCGCATCAGAATCCGACGCTTCACGAGCAGCGGGAAAGAGATGGCCCACACACACACACACAGACGTTTTCGTAAGAGAGACAACAGTGTTTTCATTATTAGGGGAATGTTGTTAAATGACACACCATAAAATGCAAAAAAACACGAGGTTTTCTGGTCTACATGAACAAAACTAGCACGCCCTCCAACATTTCAGCTTCTCCAACACATAAACTACTATAAATCCGCGGCCGAGATTCCGCGCCAGATTTTTACACATATCAAACTCGCGCCTTGCAGCAGCACGGCTTGCATGCACATGAGGTATAGCACGATTGTATCGGTATATATGAGTTGTCGACCAATGTAGAGAAGCAACCTGTGGAATTGTGTGGAAGAGGCGGGTGTGGATCTTGGTGGGGGGGTGACCATATATATATATATGTATATGTATATATATATATATACATATACACCACATATATGTATATATACATATTTGTTAACACCCACACCCAAGAACTGCCGCAAGGTGCCGAAATACCGCCACCAACCCTCCTACGTTTAGTCTGTTGAAGTTCCGAGGGGAAAGCAGATGTATGATGGCAGCCGCCTTCATTCTTCATTCCTTGCGACGGTTCGCAGATGCTCCTAAAAACTCATCAACGATGAAAATTTCTGTCTGAATACCTGAAGATCAATATGGGCCCGATTATTAACTCCCCAGACAGCCTACACTGCAGTCTCAGATCAAAGCCCCAGCAATACGTATGAATGAGCGTGAGCCTTGATTGACTCCTATTCCTAAACAGCAATATCCCTGTGACTCTCTCTCTCAGTCGCGCAGAGCAAGTCCACAAGTGAGACTACTCGTCAGCAGCCCTTTCAGCTGGTTAACGTAAAACTTCTAACTGAGCCCAGGATCTACGGTTTTGAGCTAACGGCTGTAGGGTCCTCCATAGGTCAGTATTACCAAAAAATCTGGAATGGGCAGCAGCCACCTCTCTCTCAGTAGGATGGTGATAGATATCGTGGTGTATTTGGTGGGGGCGGGGAATAGGGGAATTCGTGGAAAGTATTTGGTAGCGTTGGTACGCTTGTGTCATAGTGAGTTCGGCCCAATGTATACGAGGGTGGCCCGGGCGTTTCTTATGGAGGCGTCTGTAGGCATGTGCAGTTTGATATGTGGAGATATGTTCGAGTGAGTCTTCATGTCGGAGGATGTGTCCAAGATAAGAAATCCGGGAAGAAATAATACTCTGCGATGGCGATAGGAGTTTAGGGGCATACTCATAGGCCAGCTGGGATAAGTATTCGTTGGAGCATTCTGCCTCCGAGGGTTCCAACACTTTATGATAGAAGGAGCTTTTGATGTTGAAAATCTGTCTAAGGACCTTGTAGTGTAGCTTGTTCAATTTGGTGAGGTCAGACTGTAGATACATTTGCGATTCCGAGCCATACAGAAGGATGGCCAACACAATCTGGGAATGAACTAGCAGCTTTCGCTTGATGGTAATGGACGGGTGTCTAAAGAAGTCATGCAGACATTTGGCCGCGTGTGAGGCCTGCGCAAAGCGCTTTTTAGCGTCCGCCTTGGCGGCGGAATTATGAGTGAGGACAACTCCTAAGTAATCGGCGTGGGGTTTGGGGTCTATCCGAAGTTCTTGGGGGAGCTGTGGGTTGCTGCGCATGCAGCAGAAGTCGCATTGGCAAGGGTGGGTTGTGGTATCCGTTAGATATATAGGTAAATCGGTGTTGATACAGAGAAGCTGGCATTTTTCGTGGTTCAAGGACATGCCTCTCTTATGCGATTGGGCTTGTAATGTATGTAAAAAGCGGTGTAGTGATAATCTCGTACGAGATAACAATACTGTGTCCTCGGCATACTCAATGTCTGTGAGACGAAAATCAGTAGTGAGTACTGAAGGTCGTGGACCATATTCGGCCACGTATGATGTGTAAGTATCGTGGAAAAGTACTGAAAGTGTGATGATGAACAGATACGGTGATAGGGGGCATCCCTGCCGGATGCCCTGGGCAAAGGCTTGCGAGCGGGAGGTATATCCCGCTTCTTTCACACAAAACTGGCAGTCTTCGTAAATGGATAATACCGGATTGATAAAGGTATCGGGGATACCTGTGCGTTGCAGCGCGTTGCGCAATGCTGAGTGGGAGACCGAATCAAAAGCTTGTGACCAATCAAGGAACAGAGCGTAAAAAGATTCCTGGTGCCGTTCGTGCAATTCAAGCAATCTGCGTAGGACGAATAGAGGTGTGGAGGTAGACTTGCCGGCTCTAAAACCGAACTGAACTGGTGAGATACGGTCGTCAATAGCCGTTTTGAGTCTGTCATGGAGGAGACAAGCATACAGCTTGTATACCGTATTAATCAAAGAGATGGGGCGGTAGCTAGTAGGAGGGGTGGGGTCTTTCTTTTTACCCTTAAAGATCATAACAATGTCCGCCACTTTCCAGGATTTAGGCGAAATTGCCTGTGTGAAAGTTTTGTTAAAGTGCGCGAGTAGCGCAATATGCACCGATCTAGGAGCGAATTTCCAGATTTCTGCCGGTAGTTGATCTGGACCAGGGGCTTTTCGATTCTTAAGGCGTGCAAGCGCTCTTAGTAGTTCCGATTCCGTGAAAGGACTGGTATCAATGGGAGCCGGGGGAAAAATAAAGTCGGTAGGAAGTTCAGGAAGTTGTCTATGGTTCCAGACTTTGGTGGCCAGGTGGCTGGCCAAAACGTCAGGTTTAGCGGCTTTGGTGGACATCTGGCCATTGGGTTTTCGAATCCCTTGTGTTCGAGGTGTGTAGTCCTTACGAAGAAATTTCAGCGTGGACCACTGCTTAGAAGGGGGGCCTTTAGAGTCTTGGAGCAAGTTATCACACAGGTGCTGTTTTTTGTCTTTACGCGCACGTCGCTTGACGGCCTTTCTGAGGTTTTGCAATGATGCATGGTCTTCCGGAGGAGTCGAGGAAATGCGATCTATGAGTCGTTTTGTTGGTTCCGATAGATACTCCTTACGGTATTGGCATTCCTGTTTAGTGCGGGGCGCTACCATAAGCGCTGCTTCCTGGAGCGCCATGGCTTGTTCTTCTACCGAGAGTTTCTCAAACAGCGGTGGGGTAGAGATTCGAAGAGTATCGCTCAAGGGTTGTCGTGGGGGGTAAGAATGTCTCCCAATGGATGAGAACCTGGGGCGCTAAAGTTGCCTACAAAACTTGCAACTGATGTCATGACTCGCAGTCGCAATAATTTAGGCCACCACGGGAAGTTCCTGCAACTGCAGGCTCGAAAGCCTCTTTTCTGAAAGGTTGCGATAGTTTATCATCCATATATGGTAGCTACTTTTACAAATACTTACCTTTAGTCGCTTAATTTGCCCGTACATGTGCCTTTCTGGTATATGTCAACACACATGGTCAAGTAGCAAGCTTTCGATAAAGCCCGGACGATCCATCCAACCTGGAAAACCCACACGTCAGAGCTTAAAGCTAGATTAGAGAGACCCATAATATAAGACCCTGTACACCCACAAAACCCTATATCCCTCAAAGCCCTGCAACACCCCAAGCTTTCGAGATTTTCCGCAGCCGGAAATGTCGCATCGTGTTTCGCCTGGCGAAGATTCGTGGATGCAGGAGTGCCGGGGCCAGGGTGACAATCAGGGAAAAGCTATATAGGGTTTTGATTCCGTCGTTACTGAAGTCTTGGGTTTTTGAATGGGTTGCACGATGGCATAAATTAAAAGGTTCGTGGGCTTGTCTGTAAAATGCCTTGGCATGAGCCTATCATAAGACTGTAGAGTTGGCCCAATTCTATTTGGCCCAAGACCCAGCAAACCTCCAAACAACACAATCCCCAGGACCCTTCGACCTCATCGACATCACGCCCTGGCTTTGAATGCACGCTGGAGGCAGGGGAAACCGAACCTAAAGCCCAGCCCGAAAGACCTTGAAGCTGCCGCAAGCCAAGCACCCAAACAGGTCGGACGAGCTGGATGGGTCATGGAGCTGCATGATGTTCGAGGCCATCATCTTTCCTTTCGGGTGCTGCTAACTGAGTTTATGTTGCTACCCTAAATAAATCTACACTCCCCATACATCCTCAGGACTCCTACCCATGCGATTCCGAATGTTTGGTCTGCTCGTGCTTGCTGGGTGCATCCTTGAGCATGAGCATCAAAAGCATCGCTGTCGTGAACATTCGTTTGGGTCGAGACTCAGGGCTCTGGTTTGTAGTTCGTGGGTTGCCTTAGCAGCAATGGCTGCTCGCTTTGCCAAGCTTACGAAAGCTTGGCAGAACCTGAAGCTTAGCAAGAGCCGGCAAGCCAAGGGCATGCCGTGGCTACGCTGGGAGGAGGAAGAAGAGAGGGAGTGTGAGCCGGGTGCACAGGCTTTGACATTTAACTGTCAGATGGTGCGACTTATGGTTGAGCACCTGCAGCAGCTTACTTTGGTCTCGATCGTTTTGCTTCAAAAGGCTGCAACTTGCTGGCATTACATTGAACGATCACAGTATTGGTGTTTGAGTCCCGCACATATGATGATTTGTGTTTGTTTTCATTCTGCGATGACCCGAGGTAGAGGAGTTCTATGAGAACCAGGGGTGGGATGTGACTCCCTCCCGCATCTACAAGGACAGCTGGGGCCTTCGGAAGTTGTACTCCTATGCCCTGAGACGTGAAGCTGATTGCCACAAGCGAGGGCAAACACCTGCCGACACTTGCCATTAATATGCTGAGAGCCTGCATGACACAGCATGACACAATGTCTTTTCGGATTCCGGAAGTTGTGTGAACATGAAGTGCATGTGACCAAGGGCGAGGCAGTCCAGAAGCTGTTCCAGCTCATCCGGGAACTCCGGAATACGCTGCCCACTCCTGCCCGAAAGCTGAAAGGTTGTGTCAAGCAGATCTATGAGAGAAAGAAGGCAGAAGAGGGAGAGCGAGCAGACGAGGAGCAGGAGGAGGAGGAGGTATGCGAGGAAGGAAAGGAAGGAGAGGAAGGAGAGGAAGGAGAGGAGGAAGCAGAGCTGGAGGATGATGAGTGTGTAGAAGTGGAGGAAAAGACTGAAAAGCCTGAAAAGCCTCCCCAGCTTAAGAAGTTGAAGCCCGTCGAGGCCCTCGAGACACCAGTAAGGCGACTTCAAGCGAAGACAGCAGTCGCTGAGGAGGAAGTGCTTTTTGTGGGCTCTTCGGAAACGAAGGAAAAGAAAGAGCTTAAGAAAGTTCTTGCTCAGATTTCTGAGCTGAAGCTTCTCCAGCCCGAACCTTACAAAGTCATGTTTCCGAAACAATCACCGGCACCTGGATGAAGCTTACTGCTGTTGATGTTTGACCCGTCTGCTTGCAGCTGACAACATAAGGTCGAATGATGGGAAACGAAAGAGTCCATCGACATCCCCATCGACTTCTGATGCTTCCAGCCTCTTGGATGATATTACGGGTTCTCCTTCTTCAACCGTCTAGGTTAAGCCTATATAACGACCCTAATATAAGCCTATATAACCCTGTCTAATCCTACTCCTCCCCGTTTGTTGTATTTCTCAGAACCTAATAAATGTTTGCTTTCATGATTTAAGGCTTGTCGAAGAAGAGCCGATCCACGCAAAGCACCTGCGATCCGTCCCAGGCATCATATTCTGCACGGCTGTAAGTCTTATAGTCCGAATGAGCACTTCATGCCTTAAATGGTGTCGCTGTTACTTAATTTATCCCTGTGCAGTTGGAAACCCAGCCTCTCAACATCCTGGATCTTCCATCTCCCGCGAGCACCTTGAAAAGCACGCCGAGTGGCAGTCGAGAGAGCTTGACATCGCAGGAGCTTGTTTGGTGAAAGTATCCAAATCACTTCATAGATGATGCCTCAGTTTCTGTATAAATCAGCAGCATCCCTGTTAGGACAATGACAAGGATGGCCCGAAGGAGGCTGATCTTGTTGATCCGCAGATGCAGAGGTCGATGAGAACTGCGAAGAAGGCGGCTATTGCAGCGGCCAAGGGAAGGGGTAAAGGAAAGGGTGCAACAAACAAGAGCAAGGGCAAGGGCAAGGGCATGTGCAAATCCAGCAAAACTGTGATTAAGAATCACCTCAAGGAGAAGCCCGAGCCAAAGAAGGCAGCTAAACCTGCTAAGAAGGGTAAGACTCCTGCTGCTAAGTCTTCCGTGCCGTCGAAGAACGACAAACCGGATGCCAAGGCCAAGGCCAAAGGAAATTCTAAGAAGAATAAGAAGGATGCAGGCGGTCCAGTTGCAAACGATGCTGCTACGGACAAGGTTTTCGGCTGTCCCAAATGCCGTTGGCGAGCCGGGGGCTGCTCGAAGTGCCGAGATCCAAACTACAAGCCCCGCAAACCCAGACCTGCAACTGTTTGAGAACTGTGCTTGCTTCTTTCAATGGTTCACTTTGGACTACATGACTACATGTGCAATAGCTTCTGTAAGGGAGTGTTTTGGTTGTTGTCACAGCCGAAGCACAGATCTCTGGGTCCGCACCGGGTATGAGTTTGTGCAATGTAGAAAATCAATGATATGGGCTTCCAGCTCTCACTCGTCACCCGATGCGATTTCAGTTGAGCTCCGCACAGTAAGCTGCCGGAGCACGTGCCGCCACTTGTGGTCTAGCCTGGGGCTTGCTTATGCGATGGCACCATAGACTCTGCACTGGATGCTTGCAACCCTGTCTAGCTTGGAGTGGAACCTAGGCCTAACGATTCTTTTCAAACTATATTCAAACAAGATCTATAGTCTAGAACATATATCATACGACTTTTTAGAACCCTGTGTATAAGCCCTAATATTAGAAACCCTAAACCCTAAACCCTAAGCCCTATAAGCCCTTCAGAAAGTCCGATGCAACTCCACGCAGAACGGTGCTACTCGCATGGCTTCATTTGATCTCGAGATTTAGAAGATACGATGGGTGTTGCTGTTGTGGCCGAGCTGCCAGTGCTGATCATTGGGCAGACTGTCCGCAAAAGAACGCCGATGCTTGCAGCCCTTTTGTTTGTTGTCTGAGCATCTGCAAGCAGTAACAAAGCTAGCTCGACTTGCCCGTGGCAGGCTGGGCTACATGGTGAAGTTCCTCAAGGGGAAGCCGAAACGTGCCCCACCGGATGGGTTTGTGGGTGGCATGTACCTTAAGATCTATAGAGTTTAGGATTGTGTAGGTTTTGGGTCCTGCCCTAAAATGTTCATAGCATCTGACATAGGAAAGTTGACTCGGCTTATATAGTTCAGGTCTGGGTTATAGGGTTTGAGGCTTGTTATCGTTTAAATTTCGTGTATTGTACTTCACGGTGCAGTGAAGGCTATTATGGGGCTTGGGGTTGTTGCCGCTGCTGTAAAGCTTCAGGCTTGCCTTTCCAATCGTGTAGAACTCGTTACAGCTACGGTGCCTGCATTTCCCCAGTGGGTTTACGAGGTTTGGGCTTGGTCTTAGAAATCTGACATTGTTACTGGGAACAAGAAGGTCTCAGGGATGAAAGCAAACAGTGACAGCGAGCAGGTTGCACGCATGGACTCGTGTGTGTTGTCTTCAACCGTGTGACCATTGCAGCCTAAGCTCGGAGAGCCTAGCCGCTGATCGCCATGGTCCTTGCTGATGATCGGCGAGTATCGATTCTTCAGATCCTGCGAGACAATGGAGCACCATATGCCCCTAGTTTGTATATCTAGTCATACATGTCGTAAGTTTCTATGTGTGGCTTACCCTAACAGTTGTTCTTGTATAGGCTCGGTTTCACCCCTGTTGGCTGAGATACTGATGGTGATCTTCAACATTGTCAGCAACATGGACCTTGATTTTTCTCAGGTGGGGTGGGCCCGGTTGATGTGTGAACACATTCGGAGTGTTTGGCTGATTGTCTTCTGTAGCAGTGCTTGTTTGGCCCCGTGCAGGAGTTTGATGCTGTGGAATTCTTTGTTCATCACACAATGGTGAGCACCAGGATGAAGGCCAAGGGTTTAGCAGTGGCTTCGGCTCGATGGGGGCCAGACTCGGTGAACTTTATGTGTCACGGCTAGCATGGAGTTCGTGGAGTTCGAGAGTCCGATTGCAGTGTTACAATAGTAGGTTTGTGTCGTCAGCTGAGGTTCATGTTGGCTGTTATCCTGAAGCTCAAGCCGGGCAGCATTATCCACGCAAGATCTATTGACGGATCTGAAATGGCAGACAGGCAACTCAGCACTATTATGATCATTCTATACTTTTGCCTGAACAATCCTTATCCGAGGCTAGCCCTGGCATTATTCCTGGCACAGGCTTTGGGATGCACGTGGACGGCCGAGCTCCCCTCATCGGGGCTCCTGCAGCAGCATCCACGGTGGGTGCAGCTGGCCTCCCGAGCCAGAGTGTTTCGGGTCAATTTCTGGATCCAGGGGCGAATGCACTTAAGGAAGCACCGGCTGTGTTCGAACTCCAGAGCTATTATGGTATATCATCCTGCTCGTCTGGCGAAGAAATCTTCCGTCTACGTCTACAAGAAAAAGTCGCTTGATTGCAATCGATAGATCTTACTAGAACCATTGCTGCAGAGCTTCTCTTTGCATGGATCCGAGGCGAATAAATGCAGTCGCCAGGATCTATTGCAGAATGTTCCAGAAGGGCACGTTCCAGAAATGGTGGAGACCAGGTGCCTGGTTTTCCAAGGACCCGGTAACCCTAGAATGCCCTAGAAAGTGTAAACCCTAAAAGGGTCAGGGACCAAGCTTATACGTGTAGTGTAGGTATGTGTAGGTTCTGTGTATCTATATATATATATATATATACGTATGGAATAGCTATATATATATATATATATGTATATGTGTATATATATCTATATATATATATATACATACATACATACATGCATATATATATATATATATGTATATATATATATATATACATACTCGCATATATTTGTGCATGTAAATGGATCCAGATATGACTGGATAGATATATACATAGTATATATATATATAATATACACAGATAGATAGGTCTATTAAGCAGGTTTTATTAAGATTTATATATACATAGAACCGTATTTTAGCCCTTGCTTAAGCACCCACCTTAAGCACCCACCACAGTGTGAGCAGCATGACTCAGCTTCGAGTTTGGGTTTCGCCTCGGGGATATTAGGATTTATATAAGCTTACAACTTCTACAAGTGATCCTGTACTTCCACCACAGCTTGTAAAACCCTCAGACACCGGAAACCACGTATACCCGAGACCCGTGATGGGAAAAGCGAAGCCCGAAAGCAACATGGTGTCCCAAACCGGAAGCTTTCATGACTTTAATGGAATTCCCAATACAGGGCCTCTACAGGCCCCATTCGAAGCCTTTGGATGCCTTATCCCGCCGAACCCAAACCCGAAACCCAAACTAAGGATAAGAAGCCCAACTGTATCCGAAACCCGACTCTATATACACCCCAAACTTGTCCACCTCGACCTGATCCTGTACATTAGAAGCTTCCATGCCCCCGGAGGACATCGCTCATGTCTGAGCATGACCATGCCAGCCTCGCGAGCCGGGCTGCTGTCTGTATAGGGATAAATTATACAGTAGAGTTTACAGGGGCCTATAGTTATGCTTGGGTTCGGTGTTGTTTTATTATGTTTTAACTAAATTAACACGAAAATACAGAGGCAGCCGGTGGCGCAAACATCCGTAGTTGTGGCGCAGATGTCCGTAGCTGTGGCGCAGAAAACCGTAGGTCGTTGCCAGTGCCTGTTTTTGGCTGTGTGCAACACAAGAAGTCGCTCGCATCACTGCCCATGCTAGCACATGCAAACCTGCATCCTGTTTATGACAGAGAACATTTTGTGTCGAGTGGCTCTCGGGGGCCCCATGCCGAAAAAAGGGCCAAAGGCTAATGCAGCAAAGGCTGTGAAGGAGGAGCCCAAATCTATCCAAGAGCAACTCGAGGACCTGATAATTATGCTGGGGTTACATCTCTATTAAGTAGCCCAAACAATCAATCATCCATGACCTCATCCCTGATGCTGCCTCCAGGATGCAAGACAACTTCTGAAGTCCCTGGAGGCTCGTCGTGAGCAGGAGCAGCTGACAACGCCAGCTGCTGATCTCGAGGAGGCTGAAGAGCCTCCCAGCAAGAAGCCCCGGCTTCGAAAGAAGAAGTCGAAACGAGGAAAGCTTGATACTGCTGCCGAGGATAATGATCTAGGGCAGGAAAAGGGGACACCCGAGAAGCCTCCCCCGAAGCCTTCTGCCGCAAAGAGCCCGGTCCGTTTTCAGAGCCCCAGGCCTACTGGTGGGGCTGCCTCCTCAGGCCTAGAGCGAGTGGTTGACAAGGGGGAAGATGCCCAGGATGTTTGGGGAGGGTCGGAGCCACCTTCCGCACCAAAGGCCTCGACACCCCCGCCGAAGACTTTCAGCCCCAAACCTGGGACCCCAAGTAAGTCAAAGACACCAAAGGCTTCGACACCCCAGGCTACGACAGTGCCACCGAAGGCTGGGACACCAAAGAAGGCTTCGACACCAAAGGCTTCGACACCCAAGGCTTCGACACCCAAGCCCTCGACACCCAAGCCCTCGACACCCCGACCCACGTCTCCGAGCACGAAACACTACTCCCCAAAGCCCGTGCAGTCTTCGAGCACCAAACCTGCGACCCCCAAGCCCCAGTCGAGCCCCCAAGCTTCGACCCGCAAGTCTGCCCTGAACCGACGGAGCCCACTAAAGGCCCCAGAACAGACGCCCAAGAAGGCGACACCACGAAAGTCCCTGCTTGCAAGTTTTGACGAAGCTTGTGCCCAGCCTCCCGCAGAAGTCTTGACTCTTCCAGCACCTCGGTCCGACTCCGAGAACGAGGATGACGACATGCTGCAGTTCGCACTACACAACATGATCGAGGTTTCTTCTGCCGAGGAGGACTGGCACCCTGCTGAAGCACGGCATGCACTAATGTGTTAACATCGACCAGTCGTTGTTTGGATATTGGTTTGCATGCTGTCAATGTTCAACTCCAATCCTCGGCATCCTCTCTAAGGACAAGGATATCTACGGCACGCCACTGAAGGTCCGGTCGCATTAGTGAACATGAAGCCACTGTAGTACAGCAGACTTGTCATGGTATATGAAGCCAGGAGCCCAAACCGGAGGTCACCGACACCCCGACCGCCGACGAGAAAGAATCTCTTTCTTCTGATGATGATGATGAAGATGATGAATCCGTTGCACCTCCTGTTCCAGCTAAGAAAGCTAGGAAGCTGGTGGGTGGCAAGCGAGCCACTCGACTTTGTGTTGTAGCTGTGTGTTGCAATTTGGCTCTTCTATTTGTCAAACTGCTGAAACCCTGCCATCTGAGGCTGCAGTGTCCGTGGACAACTTATCGAAAGAAACACTGTCTAAGCTCGAAGCCACGCTGCGACGTTGCTGCAAGCCCGATCGGAAGGGTGGCCTCAAAGTTCCAGAACAGGTCCACAAGATGTGGAAACGAGGAGGCTCGTCTCGGAGAGAGCTCCGAAAAGTTCTTTTGGAGTGTGACGGCAAGAAGGACTGGAGATGTGTTGCATGTCATGGGGTCATGAGACTTTTCTTTCATGCTTCGACCTACACATGCAGGAGCTGTTCACGCAGAGGGTGAAGCACACATACACGCAGAGCAGGTCCAAGGAATGCAAGACGAGATCTGGGTTTTACACTGACCAAATGATGAAAGACGAACTGAAATTCTCCGAGCTCCTTTGCTGCAATTATTCGTCTAGCATGGAGGAATGGGTTGTGCATGTAAAGGTGTAGGTGTGTGTGTGTGTGTGCAAATGTGTATATACAGATGTGTATGGAAATGGGCACACATGATGGTTAGTTGATATGTATAGAAGATACATGTGTATGTGCACACGTGAACATAGTATATTTGTGGGTATGTATAGTATATGTTTGTATGTATGTCTGTATGTATGTATGTATGCATGTATGTATGCTTCAGCGGGTGGATGCATGTATCTGTCCATGTGTGTGTGTGTGTGTGTGTGTGTGTACGTATTTGCACAGTCTTACATGTACAATGGTGACTCTGACTCCAACCAAGGGACAGACGCAAGGCTATCAGAAAATACTGCATGCGGAAGGAGAACAAGAAAAGCCACACCAGGCACGGATCCCCAACGATTGTTATCCCCAAACCAAAGCTTCTGTCAGGAAGGACAAGTACCAGAAGAAGCTTATTTGGTACTATTGCGATATTGCCTATGAGGCTGTTCGCTCCGACAAGGACGAGGAGCAGATGAGCCGAGAGACGGGACTGGGTGAAGCCCAAGTCAGTGATGTGCCTTTGGGACTGGGGGCGAGCCTTCCCAACCTCAACTCCGACGATGAAGACGATGTAGAAGCAGAGGATGATGATGAAGATGAAAAGGATGAGGATGCTGAGGAGGGTACGCAGCCAACGGCTAAGCTAGGAAAGCGAAAGACCAAGGAGGATCTAAATGATGTGAACGAGGACAGGTTTTCCAATACGCTTCAGCAATTGTGCAATCCTAGAATTGCTATAAGTGATCCTATTTCGAAGAAACATAAGACAAGCCTAGCTGAACTTTACCCAATATAGACCTTAGGCCCTCATAAACCCTACAACCCTAATAAAAACCTACTATCACCTTTAATAAACCTTAATGCCCTAATAAACCCTACAACCCTAATAAAAACCTACTATAAACCCAATAGTATAAACCCTCAAACCCAGAATCCTAATCCGCACAACCCAGGACATCGAAGGGATCCCGGCCCTGCTGGACGACATCTTGAAGCTTTCTGGCCGATCCTCGAAGCTCCTGGAACGGTGCCAGAAGGCTGGTGCTACGGAGCCACGTGGTCGTATTAAACTGCAAGGGGCACAGGTCAGTTGGGTTTTGGCTGCATGTTTTTCAATTTCGTGCACCCAGGAAAGCGGATTTGCTGAAGACCCAGATCAAAGAACTGGGTGTGAAACATGATGAACTCGCCGACATAAAGTCTGCCTATGACTGCGACGAGGAGATTGATTCCGGGATGCTGGGCAGCATGAAACTATCCGTAACTATCCTTTGGCAACCCAAACCCTTATAATAACCCTTAAACCCTAGAAGCCCTAACCTATTGCCTTAAGGAAGCTGACTAAGCTGATGGGCCAGATCAACAAGCTGCCACTCGGCCACCAATGCCTGTCCTCCGCACAGCCATGCATGATCCGAAGACTCCACCTGCAGGTCGAGTCGCATGGCTATGGAGGAGAACAAAATCAAGAAGTCACTTGGCTGTCAAATCAGCAGCTACATGTTGCAGTTCTTGTGACCCTGTGATCCACTGTGCTTGCAACACATGCATGATCAGGACTGTGTTGTCCGGTGCCAAGACGGAAAAGCCGAAGGCGGCCCCCAAGCCTGATCCCGCAAAGCCAAAAGGCAAGGCCAAGGCGGCGAACAGGTCGCCGAAGTGAGCCTTGGATGGCTGTGCTTCGAGCTGTGCTGTGTGTCAAGGGCAAGAGCTTGGTGCAGTGGTATATGTACATAAAGGCTGAACCCGGCTAGCCTAGACTTTGAATACCTCGAGGCCGTTTCTCACGCACTGTGATTAAGGTTTATACAAACCTTAGCATGTCATTATCCTGGGCACAAAAAAAAGGTTCTGACCTCGAGCCCTTGTCCCACAAGATACGGGGGCACTTCATGTGCAACTTCGGGGAAGGGTCGTGCGAGCAGAGCCCGAACAAAAAGGTCGTTCAGCATCGTTTGCACCCAGCTACACAGCTACACTGTTCAGTCATGACCAACAAAACAAATCCCCGCAGGTACTTTATCCCTGCGATCTGTGGACAGTAACAAATCCACTGCTTCGGCTGCATCGTCTACTGCCAGCTCTGGACAAAAGCCTGGAGCTATAGCATCGGCTCTGACCGAAGCACTTACCAAAGGTGTATCGGGGCCATTGAGTTTCGTCTATACGAGGGAACTATAATTAAGATTCTATGAATATCTATGTTTTATAAAACCTAATAGGGGTATGGTTGTATTACTAAGGGGTTTCGAAGGGAAGTGTTTCTTATGCTTTAAACTTGTTATAAGGTATCACATGAGTTGGTTGCCGGGGTGGCACGTGCCGTGGAGTCGGAGATCAACGATTCTTTTGGGGAGGAGGCTGCCGCAAAGCTAAAGTCTTACAAGCTTCTTTGCAAGATGAGTCGTGGGCACCTCACCGGTCATGCAGCACAGAAGACCCGAGACGCTTTGGCTACTATGCCAGAAAGCCAGGCACCAATACCGGTAACCGGAGTTGATGTTGGCTTGAAGCAGCTTTTTCCGTGTATTCTGTTTTCTGATTATCTTCGGGTGCTAGCTGATCAGAACAAGCTGAACGTGCTTACAAAAGATGTCAACCTTGAAGCTTTCTGGGACAAGATGCAACCGCTGAGACCACAGCATCCCATCTTCCAGCTGCCTGCAAGTGCAAGGGCTTGTACCATTCCACTCTACCTCATAGGGGATGAGGGCCGTGGCTACAAGAAGTCAGCTGTTTTCGTGTTGGGGTCAGAATCACTGCTCGGCGATGGCTGTGATGCACAAGACTCGCAAACTGCAGAGGACAAGATGAAAATGAACTTCGTGGGAAATACTTTTCTTACCAGGCAGCTGTTCGCATGCATGCCCAAGTACTTGTATGCCAAGAAGGACCTGCCCCTTCACAAACTTATCAATATCTGGGCAGAAGATTTTGCGAAACTCTTCTACGATGGCCTGCAGATCCGCAGCGGCGGCTGCACGCAGACATGGCGGGTCGCTGTTCTGGGTTTGAAGGCTGATTGGCCGGCTCTGGATAAGCTGGGTCGTTTGCTCAGGCACTTTCGGCGAGAATCGTACCCCTTCAAGCATGGAATATGCCACTTGTGTATGGCCAACACTCGGCAGTGTCCATCGTGGCATGAATGCAACTTTGAGACGGCTCCTTGGGTACAAAGCATTGGTGGTGCATCTTATACTATTCCTTGGGATCCGAACAAAGAGTCTGGGCTCACATCGAAGATTCCCATGGCAGTGGAAGACAAGCCAAAGTTCTATCTGATAGATCTGTTCCATACTTGTCACAAAGGAGTCCACGCCGAACTTGCTGGTTCAGGGCTGGAGCTCCTGTCGCATAGTATGTTTTGGTTTGCCGACCCTAGACCACTACTGTATACGTAAATGTTGAAAGCCCCCCAAACCCTGGTCCATATACTTTATAAGCTGAGGTTTCTCTATGGGATTTCAAGCTGACTGGATCTGATGCCAGAGGTCTGGACAAGAGCCTGGAATTTTTGTTTCAGGAGATGAAGCAATTTTCTGCTGATCGAGGTCTCTACTTGCATATGAATAACCTCACTGCGAAGGGACTGTTGGGGATCAGCTCGTCAGCAGACTTCCCTGTCGGGTGCCTTCACTGCTTGGCATTCTTTTATAGTGTCAAAACACTTTGGTCTTGTAACAGACAGCTTTGTGCATAGTCGCTTTCCCTGTTCTGTCGAGGCAGTGGTTCAAAGGTGCCGATACCACATTTGTGCTGAAATATCTGATCTGGAAGTACGAGGCTCTACAAGAGTCAGGTGCCCTGGAGGGCCACAGCGAGGCTGAGTACTTGGGTCAGATTCTGGAGTGCCTGCGAGCCTCCGATGGGTTCCTCAGCTGCTTGTATAAGGCGGGGTTGTTCTTGAACAACCGTCGCCTTATCAGGATTTGTCGGCTGGCCACGGCGATGGTTACAAAGTATACCAAAATTGCGGCGATGGCACATTCAAGATCCTTGCCCAGGTTCAAATTGACACCGAAGTACCATATGCTGCTGCACGTGGTGCACCAGCTGCTGGTGGACAAGGAGGCCAATCGGTCACCCGTCAACCCGTTGGCTTATTCATGCCAGATGGCAGAGGACTTCATTAATCGAATTGCAACTCTGGCAAGATCTGTGAACCCACGTTTTGTGCCCGAGAGAACCTTGTACCTCTACAAGGTCGCACTCGCAAAGGTGTGGGAGTGAAAAAGTCCGAACGAATGTCGATTCATCACGTTTTCTGGTGATCTTTAGGAAGGGAGGTTTAGGCCACCGGAAATATTCAGGCCACCAGTGGCGAGTTCAAAGAAAATTGCGGAACTATGGTTCTCCAGGAAGGTAGTAACTCCTTTCTTAGCTAGGACATCTGCGCGTTCGTTTCCGGCGTGGCCCGAATGGCCTTTGATTTTCATGAGCGAGATGGGGATACTAGAGAGAAGGTGATCCAGGAGAATACGTATTTTGGTTAAGAGCTGAAGGTGCGTCGTGGGTATAGAGAGACCATGGAGAAAATCGTGAGCGAGCTGGGAATCAGTATAAATGTTAAGGGCGGTAATCGAAAGGGGGGTTTTGTGTCGGGCAACATAATCTAGTGCTTCTAATAAGGCCTCGAGTTCGGCGGTGTTATTGGAGCCCATGATTTGGAGTGCTAGGTTGTGGCCCACTGGGCCCCATGAGTCCAACCAGCTATTGTTCTGATGGATTGTAAAGCCCCAGCCGGCTGGGTTGCCGACACGAATATTATATTGGTCGGGGCAAGCGCCGTCTGTGTAAACGCAGGGCGCGTCCAATATAGGAGCAGTACCTAAAATTGTGACCGGTTGGTGCGTTACATGCGCAAATGCTTCCGCAAAATCTCGCTTAAATTGTAGTTGGTCTTCTTTAGTTCGTGGCGGAGTGATTTTAGGCGGCGGTGGTTTAGGGGGTTTTTGGAACTTGTCGAAGCTGATCGTAAATGAGAGGGGAAAGTGGCGATGAAACCAGGGTAACTTCCAATTGTTTTTGGTGGCCGCGGCTTGAATGTTGTGCAGGGACGTCATGGGCGCCAGCACATGATCAAGGCAAGAAAAATCTGTGTTTTCCGGTTGCGTAGGAGAGGCTTCAGGAGATGACGCTATCTCCCTATATGAGACAATCTGGGAGGCAGGGCGCGTATGAAAGGATGATGCGATCAAGTAATCATTGTGTACCAAGAAATCTAACAGCTTAAAGTAATTGGTTGTATACGTATCGTCCACTGGGGCGTCGCTTAAAAAGACTGCCTTTCCGATATGGGCGGAAAATTCCTCCAGTTCCGTCGGAATGATTCTAGCATTTAGGTCCCCCATATAGAGGATTAAGGAAGGGCGTGGGAGGTTGCGATGGAGTTCCTGGAGATCGTCCCAAAATTTATCCTTTCGGATTTCATCAGCTTGGGGGTCCGATAGCTGACTAGGCGCATATAGCGTTACTAAATGAGTCGGGACCGGTTGTGTGCGTAGGGTCAATACCGCTAAGCGGCCCGAATAGGGGAGAAAGTCTGATACCAGGGGTAAGCGGTGGGCGGGAATGTAAAAGCCCACCCCTGCCATGTGTTCTGTGGGCGTGCCTGAGAGGAGGAGTTTACCTCCGCCGATTCTGCGTTCATCTGAAGAAGTTGATTTTGTCTCCTGCAATGCCAGGATATCTATCTGACGTTGACGCGCGAAGCCCGCCAGGGCTTCCTGTTTCCCGTTCCCGATTAGTGTTTCGATATTAAAAGTACAGACGTGCAGTTTGTTGCGTTCCGGACGCCATCCTAGGAGGCGCGTTGGCAAATCTAAAAGCGAAGGCTGCACATAGGATCGAAAAAGGTGGGCACGAGATCCTATTGTTGGCGCTGTGTTCCCTCTGCCATAGGCTCTTTCGAGTTGGGCAGGGCTATTCGTTACCCTTTTCGGAGGGAGCCGGGAAGGACTAGGGTAAATTTTCCATCCTCCAGCGCGTCACGGAGCCATTGCCTATAATCCCGTCTAGAACTAGAGCGGCTGACATTGTACTTAGATTGTCGCGCGAGCATAGCTGTCGTGGACCTAAGACATTGATGATTTCTTGTTCCCTCCGACGCACAGCGAGATTCGTGACCACTAGCCATTGCTATGGTGTGACGGTTGGCGCCATTATGTAAACTAAAAAAGTTACGAAATAATTGTTTGGGGCGGCCGTGGTCCCCCGGCGTGCCTCTGGCGGCTCTCGCAGCACAAATGTGACCATAAAGATTGCGTGCTTTAGTCCCGTAATAGACAGAATAGTGGCGGATGCCACGTCTGTAAAACCATAAAGAGAGTTGGGCACTGCAGTAGTGGTATTTGTGCACTGCCATTCCATTCTTGAGACAAACAGGCAAAGAGTGAAAGATTTCAGGACAGTACGAGTACTCTCTGTCAACTAGCGAGCAGTTGCAAAGTCTACACCAATGGTTTCCCCTCAAAGCATGCAGAAAGCGGTTACGATTTTTTCTCGACACGAACCAAAAGTCCGTTGCGGCGTCCGTTGCTGCGTCTTGACGGCCCGTGGCAAAACAAGACGAACGAAAGGAAGACCTTGACCTCTCAGAACCCTGAACCTGAACGGCGAAGGGGAACCGAGGGCAAAAGGGAAGAAAAGGCTGGCACACAAGGGGACTAGCCCCAAGGGTTGACAATAGGCTTCGTTTGCCCTGGAGGGGAGGAGCTATGCGCTTGATATTGGCAATCTGTGCTTTCCCCGAGGGGATATAGGCAATCAGTGTCTTATTGGCAATCTGTTGCTCCCTGTGGGAGCTAATGGCAATCATTGTGCTCGCTAAGAGCAACATAAAGGCAATCTGCGAAAAGTTGCTGCTTTGAGGGTGTGGGGTCTGGCTTAGCTGGTCGAGGAAAAAGGGTGGTTGAAAGTTCGGGTAGGTTTGGGCCTGTTGGAAGTACTCGTTGATAGGCTTCAAGTAGGGCTGTGGAGGTCTCCATGGACTGCTGAAAGATTGGCCTTCGGCCAGGGGTCAGTAGACCGAAACAACTTGTACCCATGAGTATCTAGTGTCCTTGTGCTGGTGCTGAAACATAGCCCAAGCTGTGCGCCATGCTAGCAGGTGCGCACCCCCTTCTGCTAATGCTAGCATCAAGGTTTCCATGATGTTGCCTTTGTTGACGTGGGCCCTCCATTGGACCGCCTGTACCTCCTGCGTACTGATCTGCATAAGCGGCACAATGTATTCAAGGAGTTTCACGAGTTGGTCGTTGGGGGCCTGGAGTTGGGACTTCTTTGTGTCTCGGAGGACTCCGTATACCGCTGCTATCTGCCAAAAAACCGCATCAAAATACAAGGAACCAAATCCTGCCGAAGTTCCCACGCCCTTATTGTCAAAAGGGGGGGTAGCTTGGATGCAGGCTTTGAGGGTGGGGTCGTTGTCTAGGTACCAAACGAATTCCTCAGCGAGGGTCTGAAAAAGATCCGTGGTAGTACGCTTCCATGCTCCTAGCATTAGCCATTCTAACACGGGCTGATTCCAGGTGAGATCTGGGGGGTTCTCCTGTTCTTGCTTAGCCTGTTCGTAAGCTAGCCAAAGGGAGGAAGCGATCAAGCATAGGGGAATGCGAGACGTCTACGGTACGTGCCCAATCTCCTAAGTTGTAGTGTGCCGTGAGGTCTGTGAAGTGTTTGGCCCACACTTCTTTGAAGTACTGCGCAAACCAGGATGCTGTGTAAAAGGTGGCCTGAAGGACTGGTTCATACAGTGGGCCCCACATATTAACGATGTGTTCCTCCGTGAGGGCCCAGCTAGGGTTACTCCAAGGGAGTCTCGTTGGCTTAGGGGGGGGCATCAGGGCCGTGAGTTCGGCTTCAAAAACACTTACCACCCAGTAGGCGGCGTGTTGCTGGGGCGAAAAAGAGCTAAAGTTCGTACCTTCGTAGGTTTCTTTCATTGCTGCAATGAATTTGGTTGTAACCTCGGGGGCTTGCATGATAGGGTCAAGATCAAACAAGATACGGTCTAGCTGCAATACCATGCACTTCGTTGCCGTGGGAAGGGAGGTCCAGGAGTCTTGGGCCTGCTTAGAAGACCAGTACTTACGATGTTCCTGGCAGAAACTACAGTTCTGTGCGAAGCCTAGGGGTTTATCACAGAGTTGTTGGTCGTTGGTGGTACATGGGCAGATGAGAGTCTTCCAAGGGACTGTGTCTTTCCACATGAAACCGGGGGGCACTGGGTGTTCCTTACACTTAGGGCAATCAATGCAGTAACCCAGGGCACAGGAGCAATGCTCGCAAATAAAGACTGGCAAAATGTGACTGTGGCCTTTACCTTTGTTGTGTTGGGCCTGTTGCTGTTGGGAGCCTTTGCCCGAGCTTCCGAAAATGGGGCCTTTAGGTGTTCTGGAGGGGGCCCATGTACCTGAATCCCAGGGGCCCCAACTATCATTGTTATCCTGGTCGTCGTCCTTCTTCCAGTTGGTTCTGGCATCGTGATCACGTTCTTTCCATTGGCCCTTGGCCTGTCCTTTATCTTTGGGTTTCTGGTACGTATTGTAGGCCGACCATCCAGATTTCTGGGACCATCCTTGGTAAGAGGATCGGTGGCTGCTGCCTTTGCCCACCTGGGGGGTCCATTGGTCTTGGCGATCATTTCGGGCTTTGGTTTGGGGCTTACCTTTGCTGGATCCCTTTGCCCTAGGGCCCTAGGAGACCCTTTGCCGTAATCCTCAAAACCCTGATCTAGAAAAGCCTGGGCCGTCAAGGCGGTCATTCCGCCAGCGCCTTGAAAAGGCAACATGGGGTGAGACTCAAGCATGGAGGCTAGATCATCCGAAATGCGTACCGGCATCACTGTGTGCGGAAAAGCCTGTGCGTGTGAAGCGGTTGTGAGGTCGAAGGCCTTGTCGTAGGAAGCTCGTTGCACAGTCGTGCGGTCAGAGGTGGCGCGTTTGAGCGCCTGTGCCAGGAATAAGGTTTCCCGAAGTCTCCTCGAAAATTTTGCATGCCATCGCGTCAGGGCTGCGTCGTAAAATCTGTCGTGCACCAACAATAAGCAGGAATAGCGGCGCGCAAAGCGCGGGTCGAGCACGTAGCTCACTTGCCCAATAAGTTGCTTGGGCTCCACCCCCTTGGGGGTCCAGATCTGCAGCGTCTGCCTCCAAGTTTGTAAAGAGGCGTGGGTGTCTTCTCCAGTTTCCTCCACATAGAGCTCGGCGAGGACGTCAAGTAAAGCATAA